GGGGCGGGCCCAGGAGTCCGGAAGTCCGGGGGCGGGCCCAGGAGTCCGGAAGCCCCAGGAGTCCGGAAGTCCGGAGGCGGGCCCAGAAGTCCAGGGGCGGGCCCAGGAGTCCGGAAGTCCCGGGGCGGGCCCAGGATTCCGGAAGTCCGGGGGCGGGCCCAGGATTCCGGAAGTCCAGGGGCGGGCCCAGGAGTCCGGAAGTCTCGGGGCGGGACCTAGCGGGGACCCGCCGGTTGTGGGGCAGCGGGTGTTCTGTCGCCGCTTCACGAGGCCGGTCTTGCTTCCTGACTTGACCCAGGGTGGGAACACCGCAGAATCTTGGATGTATAGACACCGCGGCTGGGGAAGGGCACCACCTCCAGCCAGGGCCCTGCCAGGTCTCTAAGAGCGACACGCGGACCGCAAGAGCTCTGGTCTTCGTCAGTGATATGAAAGCCAGTGCTGCGAATCCCGCTTTCTTGCAGATGAGGGACCAGACCCAAGTTAGCATGGCTTTCAGGAAATAGCTGCGATACTGCAGTCACTTATAAAATCTAACTTGAGACACCAGTCTGGTTTGGGCATACAAGCTGAGAAAGGAGTAATTCCTAAAAGGGAAACATTACAGGGGGAGGCACTAAGAATGAATGAAGGACATAAAATATCAAGGCTCAGACCTGAGGGCATAACCAGCCAAAAAGGAAATGGGCAAAGCCTCAGAAACCTGGATCCTATTTTCACATATACCGCTATATATGTGCGAGCCACATGACCTCTCCGGACCTCCATTTACAGAATGAGTTGGGAAATGATCTCAAAAATCACGTCCAAACCTATCACTCTACAGACGTGAATAAACAGAACAATGCGGTGACCTCTTTGCTGTATTACACATTTAAACGAATTTTCAAACTCAGGTTGATCCTCTTTAAACTTGTTGAAGGATGTACCACTGAGTTACAAAAGACTAGTTTTTAAAAGGTCTTTTAAACTATTTAATTTAGGAAATTGCATTTTCCCCTGTGTTTGCCTTCCTAAGGATTAAGAGTATGAGAAACACTTGGTAAGGGAATGTGTTTTCTTTAGCAAATCTTTGGGGAGTTAGTAATTATTCCTGTCTGTGGCTGCCCAAGGGATTGCTGGGGGTCATGTGTTGTCTCCAAAGCTAAATCTTTGATGTTACAGGGCCCCTGCTGAAGAGAGAGCCCTGTTTTCTTTCATTCTATGTAATGAACCGAGATGTAGAAGCTAAAATCAGACTTGTACTCCTGCAACACCTTCCACTTGGTATAAGGATGGAAGCACAGTCCATGCAGAAAGCAAACTTAGACCACCACCAATTTTATTGTTTACCATTATTCTGACATGTTACTATGAACTCAAAACATTAAGGCTTTCTGTTTTTATAACCTTACAAACTGCAAAATATATACACACTTAGGGTTCTTGTAAAGCTTGGCATAGCTAATTTTTCTAATTGCAATGCTAGTATTTCCTATCTTTTTCTCTACATACCTTAAATATATCCAGACCAGGGAGTCTCAGCCGTGGAACTATGAAACACATGGGGTGGGATAATCTTTTTGTTGTGTCCTGTGCATGCAGGGTGTTTAGCAGCACCCCAAAGCCTCTATCCACTAGATGCCAGGAGCATCCCAGCCATCCACCGATGGTACAACCAAAAATGTCTCCAGACACTGCCCAATTTCCCCAGTTGAGAACTACTGTCTAACCTCAGATACAAAGCCTATCCTCAAGTACTTCTGCAATGATAACACTGTAATCTTTAGTGTTTCCTTTTTTGTTTTCTTAACCAATAAATAAGTCTGGCCAAACAAATGGATAGCTTAATATTTTACCTTTTCACACATACTCTCCTAAAATTGGATTTTTTGGGCCTTAGCCTTAGGTCTAAGCAGTAACTCATGTACTATGGAAATAGGTCTGTGCACAAAGTGGTAAGAGATATACATCCTTGAAAAAGTGTAAAAATGTATGTAGATAACACCATAAATAATCCACACAATTTGACGAGCATTTATTAAACACCTACTGTGTGCTCGGCACCGTACTAGGCACTAAGGGGTGCAGAGATACAATGTAAAATTATTATTCCTGCTCTCAAGCAGCTTACAATTTTGGAAATAAATACAAATGTGAAGCTACAATACAGACTGCTAGGAAATAATTACAAAGCAACATGGAGCACAGCAGAAACTCAAAGGATCAGTGCTGAGGCAAAGGGAGGTGTCAGTGTGAAGTGAGGTCAGACAGGGAGCACTCATTCAGAAGATAGGAAGGAAACTAGGCTTTGAAGGGAGGGATGAACAGGAGCTGGGGCCAAAGCAACCTAAGCAAAAGGAATAGCATGGGAAAGGCACAGAGGCTAGGGCTTCTAAGACAGTGGTGGAAGGCCACAGGAAGTGTGAACGTCAGGACTGATATGCTGGGCAATGAGGCTGAGGCAGATTAAGCATGGAGGGCAAGGTAACGGAGAACTTGGAACGTCACGGTGCTGATCAGAATTATCTGCTGGGTTTTCTTGAGTGACAGTGAGACATCATGAAAATGGAGTTTGAGGAGGGTCATCTCGGATGCAAACAAGGTGGGGATCTCGGGAGCAAGGAAACTGGAAAGGACGAAGTACAATAACCTGGGCCCCAGGTAACACAGGTCTGCATGGAAGACTACAAAGGCATGGCAGAAATGTAAACGACCTAGATTCAAAAAGAAAACTAAGAATTCCAACAATGTAGCAAGATCTTGGGCATGGAGAGTGGAGAGCAGAACAAGACTAAAAGGCCAACTCCACGACTGGGATAAGAATCAAAGGGCAGTGAGTTTGTTCAGGGTCAAGGAATTAGCGATGATGCCTATTTAAAAGGAAAATGGGGGTTGGGACAAGAGTGATGAGTTCTATTTTCAAATCCCAAGTTGTATAGGGAGCTGTAGAAAAGTCCACAGGTCGAAAGACGACACAGGGTGGGAAATATTAAGATACTGAAATACAGAAGGTTAGTGTTGACAATCAAAATGGATAAATGAGTAGTTTAAAAAGTGGTGAATAAAATGAAGATATGGGGGTTATTCTTAGTGCAGACTAGGAGAAAAAATGACTAATAAAGAAAACCTAGAAATTGGAGAAAATGACCAAAAAGGATTCCACAAAGCCAAAGCAGAAGACAAGTCTTGAGACACGGGAAATTCAATAGTATGAACTACAGATCAAGAAGGACAAGAAATAAGAAAAGACGTTAATATTTATCCACTGGTGACTCTGAGGACATTTCAACAGAGTGCTGAGTACAACAGCCAGTTAAGGAGAAGCTTTAAGAATAGATTAATGTGGGCCAGCCGAGTGGCGCATCGGTTAAGAGCTAGCTTGGGATGCCAGCTCTGAGCAGCAGGGCCCCAGTTCGGATCCCACATGAGGGCCAGTGACGCTGTGCCCTCTACAGCTATGATGCTGAACAACAGCTCGACCTGGGGCTGGGCTGTCGTGAGTCGCTGGCGACGGCGTAGGCTGCAGTCCCCTATTGCAGTGGGCTGCCATAAGCTACCGTGTGTGGTCGGCAGCCAGCGTGGGCAGCTGGGAGCCGGTGTGAGCTGCCAAGAGCCACCGTCCAGTGACTGGCGACCGATGTGCCTCACCTGGGAAGAGGGCAATGATCATACCAACATGAGCCAGTGAAGCAATGTCCTCCACAACTAGACTGAAGAACAAAAGGACAGCAACTTGTCTGTTCCCCTCTCCCGAGTCCCCAACACTGTTCCCCTCCCCCAATTCCCCAATAAAATCTTTAAAAAAAAATAGATTAATGAGGACGTGGATTGAACATGGATGACACGTTAAAAAAAACCCATGACTGCTAGAATAGAATGGCTAGAATAGAATGGCAGAAGGAACTGGGTAATAAATGAAACGTTTTCCACATTTGATGCTGTAGATGAGCTTACTGTTGTCATCCTAATATCCCATCCGTCTGGCCTGATGCATGGAGATCTCATTTCCCTCCCAGGGGCAGTTTAGAGAGAAATGTATTTGAATCTGTAAGTTATTGCTTTATCATCCCAGTTACTCTTTTAAACATGTTTTACTTACACAAGTTAGTTTTCTACTACTACAAAGCATCAAACTATCAACATTAAAGGTGTAATTATAAACCAAAATGGCATTTTCAACCAATCTCCCAGTAATGGTAATGGACTTGCTACTGCACATCCCGGTCCCTGGCACCTCCTGTAACTAGGGGTGCGTAACTGTGAAACAGCGGGCCAGGGTTAGGGAGTTCATCAGGGAGACAGCAGCACAGTGCTCGGCAGTTCAGACTGTGCAGCTTAGCTCTGCTCCCTCACGTACAGCTGTACCATCCTGGTCAGCTCGGTCAACTCCCTATTATAGGGAGTTATAGACAGTTTCGTCGTCTATAAAATGGGGGATATAACAATATCACAGCTTAACAGAGTTTGGTACACAGCATGTGCTCAATAAACACCAGCCAATATTCTCTAGAGCCGCAGAACCAAGAGAGTGAAGCTAAGTGCTCCGTGTGGGAGTCAGACACCACATCCTGACACTGCCACCTCGCTCAATGGAGGAAATCTTGAAGCCTCAGATGCGTCTGCTAGGACTATGCTGAATGGCAGCAGAGTTATGGAAGAACCACTTTTATCTTTCCAGGTCCTAAAAGGAGAAGCTGAGGATGGGAGAAGACAGTACTGGTGGACAGTTCATTTCAGATTAAGAGCATAAAAACAGAACCTGCAGGATAAAGGAACTTGGTGCATGATAGTTAGCAGCTCAAAACAAGGTCCCACAGAACGACCCACAACAGCCTAAGGGTGAGAACTGGAGACCACGTATGGACTTCCCCCCATGAGCCATGGAGCCTTTCCTATCGTCTTCTCTACGTGGCCATTTCTGTAGGTGTGCTGTCAGCCATGACAGTCAGTCTTGTCTCACATTCGTCCAGTAAAACACTGATCTTTCTGGTCCTGTCTTCTTTCCTCTGAGTTTCTACCAGATGCTTAGTAATATTCTGAGATTTAAGTAATCTGGCTACACTTGACTGAGTCAAGCGATGTTAGCTGGTACATTTAGTCATTTCAAATGTTGTTCTGCTCAGAACTTTCCCTTGAATAGAAGACCAGCATTTCTCTGGACCACATGGGAGAAGGGTGTGTGTGTGTGTTTGTGTACGTGCATGTGCGCGCACACACACACACACTCCGACAACATACCCATCCTATGTAATGTCTGCATTATATGTATCTTACAGAGGGTAAGGCACAACTGAAGCAGAGAGCAAGGATCTAGAGACAACCAGATTTATTAGTTTCTGGTTACTTGAAAGTTCAAGTACAAAAGAATTAGGAATGGTGATCTATAGGGGAGGAGGGAGGGAGAATAAGCACCATTTTGAAGAAGTTGACCAAGGAAACCAGGATGACAAATGACAGGAGGGTACCAATAACTCAACAGGTCTAGATAACCTTGACGGTGTCATTGGTGAAGGTGTGCCAAAGGGGGTAGAGAAAGGGTGTTAAAGGGAAGGAATTTATGATCCAAAAGGTGGACCTCTATGATGTAGGATTTTACGACTGATTTTTAAAAACATCAATTGCAAAATAACTTAATAAGTGTTGTCCCTGTTCAGAATATTCACAGTGTGAAGTTACAGAAGTTCTCTTGGAGTTTTCATCAGAAGGTATGTTCTATTCTTCTGAACAGGATTAACGGAATCAATTAATTCCAACTATGAAAGGTGACTCTGGAAATAGGCAAGTTACTCAATTTCAAATCTGGTGAACAAGTGGGTAATCAAAGTCAGAAATGAGATGTGACTCAAGAGTACTATAGTGTTTTCGTGCATGGTTTAGTAAATGGGAGTTCTGAGTGTCCCCAAAATGTGGGACAGTGGTAGCACTACCGGAATAGTCACAACTGCCCAACTAAAAGGGTGTGCGAGCTCTAGCATGTGACTGTAGACCAGCCTCATTGTTTCATGTCCCTTGGTGGTTCACTAAAGCCTCAAAGATGGGATACACTCCTGGTGTTGATACGTTTAATAGTCTGCTGGACTGCTGACGAAGCTCACCAGAATTCAAAACGAGGACCTGGGAGGTGAAGTACTTGAGAGATAACCACTGTGGATATAAAAAACCAACGGCAAGAAACAGGGGTAATGATGCATGAGGTGCTGAGGCCCCCTAAAGAGGGGCCAGGGTAATGACAAGAATGACAGGCCATCCAGTCGGGGGATTTGTGCAGAGAGCTCAGAAGCTGAGCAATCCTATGATGGGCCAACAGGACTGCGTACACGCTCGATAAGGATGTCTATGTCTTCTTCAAGTCCCCATCTCCACTGTCTCCCACATGATGCCACAAGTAGGTGAGCATGAACACCTCTGTGGACCACAGCACAGTAGGAAGGTGGACAGGAGAGCCAGTGTCACCAGCAGAAGGTACAGCCCTCCAGACTCCAGAGCGGGGGGCTTCCTCCACTCACCTTTCTCTGCACACTCCCACAAGCATCACTAAGGTGTCCGCTCCCTGCTGACGCGGGCTCTGGGCCCGGGGTGGTGAAGGGGACATGTGGATGCTCAGTGACTCAGTGGAGTCAGTGAGGCGGGGATGTGAAGAAAAATACTGGAGTGCTGTTAAAAATAAAGCATTCTGAGTCTGCGTGGGAATATGTATTTCCACTATCAAGAATGTTAGGATAAAAGAAAACACACACTTAAACATAAACACATCAAGTGCCTGTAAAAACTTCCCTAGAACTAGGATCTTAGAAAGCTAAGTACAAACTGAGTCTCTCACACAGAGGCTGCTTCAAACTCTAAAGCAGCTTCTTAGATCAATCAGGGGCACAAGTGCACCTTCGGGGAGGAACAGGCTCACAGGAGAGGGGAGCTCAGAGAACTAGAGGCGGCCTCTCGCAAACGTACAGCTACTCACCCAAAAGGCAAAGTTCAGTGCTTCGGCCGCACAAGCAACTCGCCCTAATGCTGTTTCAGCTTCTAAAGGCTACACCAGGCCACAGGAGCACCGCTCCGTCAGACACCTCCCGAGGCTGTCACGCCAATGAATCTGCATCAAGGCACTGGGCCCAAACTACTGAGAGCCGCTCTAACTGCCACCACTCCTGGCTCTGACCCTACGGAAGGTTGCAACGATGACAGACTTTCTGCCTTTTTACTATACTGAAAGACCTCTCACCAGCATGTGGTTTCTCAAATACTGAATAACACCTAAACTACGACTCAAGTTCTTCCCTAAACTCCTGCGGATTCAGATTTTTCTCCACTGTGGACTCTCTGATGTCGAATGAGACTTGACCTCTGAATGAAGGCTTTCCCACACTCGTTACACTGATAGGGCTTCTCCCCTGTGTGAATTCTCAGGTGCTGAATGAGGCCAGTGTTCCCATTGAAAGCCTTCCCACATTCTTTACATTTGTAGGGTCTCTCTCCGGTGTGGATTCTCTGGTGTTCAATCAGGCCTGACTTCTGGCTGAAGGCCCTCCCACACTCACTGCACTTGTACGGCTTCTCCCCAGTGTGGCTCCTCTGATGGCCAATGAGATGTGAGCTCCGCCTGAAGGTCTTCCCACACTCGTCACACTCATAGGGCTTCTCGCCAGTGTGGATCCTCTGATGGCCAATGAGGTGGGAGCTGTGACTGAAGGCCTTCCCACACTCGTTGCACTCGTAGGGCCTCTCCCCACTGTGGATGCGCTGGTGCAGGATCAGGCCCGCACTCTGGCTGAAGGCCTTCCCACACTGACTACACTGGTAGGGCTTCTCCCCCGTGTGGATGCGCTGGTGCAGGATCAGGCCTGTGTTCTGGCTGAAGGCCTTCCCACACTCCTTACAGTGATAGCGCTTGACTTTGTTGTGGATATCCTGGTGGGAGAGAAGGGCTGACCTGTAACTGAAGGCTTTCCCGCACACAGTACACTGATAGGGCTTCTCCCCGGTGTGGATTCTCCAGTGGCGGACAAGGCCTGAGCTCTGAGCAAAGCTCTTCCCACATTCGTCACATTTATGTCGTCTCTCTTGGGTGGCATTTGCCCGCTGCCTCTCTACTCTGCTGCCCAGAAGGTCTCGGGCTTCTCCATGCTCCAGACCCCCGGTAACATCCCCATTGCATCTGGCAGCTGTCTCTCCACGTGGCTGGACTCCGGCAGATGCTACCTGTTTCGAAGCTAATTCCCGGTTCTCACTCCTGGTCTCACCACCTGAAATAAAAGCGTAATAAATAAACCTTAAGCCAGTGTCACCTCCTGTTCTTTATGTTAGGAGGAAGGAATCAAATACTGGAGAAAAGGAAAACAGCTGCAAGTACCTGCAAAGCTTCCATCTGTCTCCAGGATGCCTTCCTAAACTGGGGAAGGAGTGCCTCAAAAGAGAGGGTTATTGGGATGGGGACTAACGTGGGGAAGGGATCAGCCGAGGAAAAGTGGCAGTTGAGGAGTGGGAAGGAGTATGGAACTGCTAAAAGATCCAATGAGTGGGACAAACATGGGAAAAAGCCCCAACAGCCATTAAAAGGGAGGAGCACAACCGTTCTGAAATTGCTGTAAAGATCTTATGGGACCTGGGAGCAGAAGAAACGCATGAACTCAGAGAGCACTGAAAGATTCCAATGTCCAACTGGCAAACAGATCAATGCCCAGACACAAATGTAAGCTCAGTCAGTCCTGGACTGGAGATTGGAAGTTTCATTTTAGACCTTGAGATGTCTCAACACTGTTTCTCGGTTGGGTCCCGAGTTAAAACTCAACTGTCTTTCAGAAAAACCCACAGCTAAGTGCACATAACAAACAAACACACACCTTAAATGATAATAACTGGAGCTCTCCTTACCCAGGGAGAACATGTTTCTGTAATTCTCTGGCCTATTATCTCTACTCAGATCCTTCTGTGTTGCATCAAGAAGCCACTCCTCTCGAATTAGGGACACAGCCATGTCTTCAATCTTCTCCAGAGTCTGAAATAGAACAAGGTCCTCACTGGGGGACTATGGCTGTTCCACAGCTCAAATCCAGATTGTCTGAGATCCCGCAGGGTTGGAGCGGATCCAAAGGTGGGACGTACTGGGTAAAGGGATGAGAAGAGCTGGGATGAAGAACATGACCAGGATTACTGGGGGAAATCAAGGGCTGAGCTGTCTCCAGTCAAAGGAACCTGGGGCAGGCTCTTGGGTGAGTACTGCTACAATGCAGACAGGGGGTGGATGCTGCAAACACTACCAAGGGCAGCCATGTGGTTTCTGAGAAGGGCAACTCACCTGGAACCCTGCTGTTAGAAGTGTAGCTGTCATCTGGTCTCCAGGACTTCCTTTCTGGGAAGGGGTGGGACTCGGAGAAGTGGCTAGAGCTGCGAGAGAAGAAAGGAGCTAGGAATGAGGCCAGCCTTGCTCTGTGGTTGTGGGGGCCAGCAGATATGTGTGCCAGGGGTTGGAGGTGAACTGCTGGGGTCTTGGCTCTGCGTCCCTAACTGTGGCTGTCCACAAAACATCCACATGCCAATGTCCACCAGCCTGAATTACACGTCCAAAATATAAAGTGTACTGGTTTCCTGACAGGAATTGTGTTTTAGTTTCTTCTCTACCAGCAAACGTATATTCTGTCCTTGTGCTCGTTACAGTATTTCTCTAGGTCCCATTCTACCTCTATGAACAATACTGCCTTTTGGAAATGTCTGTCAGGACTGCCAGGACCTGCTTCCTCCAGATACCAGGTAGCACAATACCAAAATTGGGCAACAAGCCTTTGAATTTTAGACAAAAATTATACTATGTTTAATTAGAAAATGTTTCTAAGTTTCCTCTTTAGAAATATTAAAAACCCACTCATCTAGAACAAACTACTGTAAACCACATAAACGAAAAAATCAGAAATATAGGGCAAGTATGAGATGAGACTAGAACATCTTGTTCTCTAAGAAAGTAAGTTCTCGATGATGGGAAATATCAAAAGGATATAGGAGCCAAACGGAAGGGGCCTTCTCTGGCAAAGCTGAGGCAATTTAAGCATTAAAATAAAGACAGTAATAGAATATTTATGGAATAAAATAATTATTTATGAGTCCATACTGATTAGTAAAAAGAATAATAAAAAACTGGACAGGGGCCGGCCGAGTGGCGCGATGGTTAAGAACTGGCTTGGGATGCCAGAGGGCCCCGGTTCGGATCCCACATATGAGGGCCAGTGACGCTGAAGAACAAAAGGACAGCAACTTGTCTGTTCCCCTTCCCCCAATTCCCCAGCACTGTTCCCATCCCCCTAATTCCCCAATAAAAATATTTAAAAAAAAAATGGGGAGAAGGGAACATCTCAAGTATAATAAACAAATAAATGTAGGAGGAATGAGAGTTAGAAGAATTATCAGTTTGTAACTGTCTTAGTAATCACTGATTCAGTCAAGCAGCATCAATGAATACGAAACTATGTACTGTTTTAGCAACAAAACTTTGATGAGGACCAGGATATTTACACAGACTCAAGAGTATCTCCCCACAAACTATTTATTAATTACAAAGAGAAAAACAGTAACTTTACAACAATTAACCCAGCAAGTATAACCTTAACCAAGTCATCAAAGATACCATCACCAACACTTGAATGTAAACATGAGGAAACGTCACATAAACCCAAATTGCAGCCACTTTACAAAATAACTGACCTGTACTCTTCAAACATGTCAAGATCATGAAGGCAAAGAAAAGCTGAGGACTATTCCAAATTAAAGGAGACTACAGAGACATGACAGCTAACTGCAGAGTGCTGTCGTGGCCGGGACCCTGGACGACACTGCTGGGACAAAGGGCAAATAGGAACAGAACCATGGACTAGGTCAGTGTGCATCATTGAGATGCCTCCTGACAGGGACGAAAACGCCCTTGTTTGAGGAAACACATACTGAAGTATTTACAAATACAGTGATGTGCCAGTACCAGCAAAACCCCAAAAACACCTTGTTGGAAATACATCAGAGTGACAAGCATGTGTGAATACATACAAACCCCCAAATTCTATAATTTGCTCATGACTTACCACTGGGACCGACAGTCTGTATCTGAAGCCTGGATAAACACTGAAAGCAGACCTCATGACGGGTCTGTACAGAGTGGCTCTCCAGGACCAGACGGGGTGTCCCAGATGTCCTCCTTCCCTTCCTACACCCTCCTCGCCAGTGACATCTGGCTGCTCACCTCTGTCATGTGGCCCTTGGAGCCCTGGAGGTGCATGCTGGGCCGCCATAGGCTGCAGCTGAGCATCTGGTGCAGACCCTGAGCGTGTCACCTCCTCCCAGAGGACCCTGTGTCCATGTGCACGAGCCGGGACCTGGAAGCAATGGGACAGCTGCATCACAAAGGGTCCCTCTGAGAAATGAGGTGACCGATGCAGGAGGACCAAGAGCACATCTACAGGGACATGTGCTAAGGAAAGCAAGCAGCAGACCTCCTTCACTTCCCGGTGCAACACGGGGCTGTGCACCGCGGCCAGGGGCCTGAGGTGGAGGCGGAAGCAAAGTGGTGCTGTTCTAAGGGACACTGACAAGCGACAGGAAACCTGAGCTCTGGTCTCAGACCTGCCCATAACTTCTGGGCGCCTCTGAAAGGGTAACTGAAGCTCTACACATCAGCTTTGCATCTGGCAAACAGGGACAATAATACAGTGCAGGAATGCTGTGAGGATAAGAAATGGATTTATATCCTTACAAAAAAGAACTCGGCGAATACAAGCTCTACAACACTGCAGCTCCTTTCATCCTTCTCCAACAGCAACTCATGCTCTGCAGTTACTCTTCCACCACATCCTTCCACCCAGCCCCCAGGACCCCCACGTCGCAGAACGCACACCCTTCCTACTTACTGGCCGTCCTAGTATATCGATCTGCCTGTCCAGGTCCTCCAGGAGGGTCACCACCTCCTCCCCACTGTCCAGCTGATGCTCCTTAACCAGGGCCTGGAGCTCCCCGGGCAGGATGCTCAGGAACTGCTCCAGCACCAGCAGCTCCAGCATCTGCTCCTTGCTGTGCAAATCAGGCCGTAGCCACTGATGACACAGTGCCCGGAGCTGGGCCAATGCTTCTCGGGGCCCCGGTGCCTCCTGGTAGCAGAGCTGCCGGAAACGCAGGCGGGACAGCTCTTGGTCAGCGGGATGCTTCTCATGCCGACTAGGCTCCGGGGTCCAGCCGTGATCTTCCTCTACCTTGACGATCACAAGGTCCTCTTCAGGAGCCCGGTCTGCTGGGGATGGGGCTAAAGACTTTCTTGATTCTGCAGCCATGGAGGGCCGGAAAAACTCAGGAGCCTCGTTCTGTCACCTTTCTCTCCTTAAGAGAAGAACCTTCTGAGGGCCTCTTCTTTAAGGGTACTTATTGAAGAAGAGAAAATGACAGTGTTAGGGACGTCAGAGATCACATCATTTACTAAGATGTCTCAACAGGCTCCCTACCATGACACGGACTTCATGGCTCAGTCAGTTAAGAGATCCTCTCCACTCTTTCAGAAGTAACTCCTTACCTCCTCGTGCCAAACCCATCTGGGGAATAAGCCCCTGCCTGTTTTCTCTCCTCGGGAAGGGGAACGTAGGTAAACAAAGTCAGGAATGCATCTAACTGAAATTCTGCCTTTCACCTTGGATGGCCTTCAGAGCTGCCGCTTTTCTGTACTGTTTCTACACACTTCAGCTGTCAAACCTGTCCCTCGCTCTCAAAGGTTAGACTAATTTCCATACCCTCTAGCTCAAGGTACTGTTCGGAGTGTGTGAGGACTTTCCTCTTCTCCGCCTAACATTCATTACCCTGCCTGTGCTCCCCATCGCCCATGCTGTCACATGGCCAACTTTCTCTATTATGGACCTCATCTTGAGCTCTAAGATCTTCTCTGGAGCACGGGTCCCGCACCTCCAAGGAACCTGGATGCCCCACCAACACCTGTATCTTACTGATATAGACTCAAAGAACATTAGAGGACCATTATTTACAATACCTAACACAGAATGCATCTATATTTGTTGAAGAGTGAGGTACGGAAACAAGACCTGATGTCCAAGAACTTCAATTTCAGGGTCCATTTCTTTGTGGGGTATGTGCCTCTGGCTTTCATCTTTGGTATTAGACACATCTCTTGCCCATAGTCACAGTGGTAAGTGGTCTTTCTGCCCCTGGCTATGCTTTTATCCTATCTGTGTTCCACAAAGCTGCCTGTTGTGGTTTGAATTGTGTCCTCTAAAAACATATGTTGCAGGGTGGACTGGTGGCTCAGTTAGTTAGAGTGTACCCTCTGAGCAGCAAGGTTGCCAGTTCGATCCCCACATGGGCTACTTTGAGGTGTGCCCTCCTTAAGAAAACAAACAAATAAAGATGTTGCGGTCTTAACCTTTGTTACCTGTGAATGTGGCCTTATTTGGAAATAGGGTCTTTGCAGATGTGCTCAAGTTAAGATGAGGTTATACTGCAATCAGGTGCCAGGCAGCTTATCAAATATGGCTCGTACACTTTTAAGAGGAAGAGAGATACAAAGATCGACACACACAAAGAGAAGGCCATATGAAGACACAGAAGACAGCTAAGTGACTACAGAGGTAGAGACGAAGTCATACAGCTGCAAGCCAAGGAATGCCTAGGACTGTCAGTTAAAGACCAGAAGCAAGGAGACTATGGCCCGGCCCACATCCTGATTTTGGATTTCTGGTCTCTGTAACTGTGACATAAATTTCTGTTGTTAAGCTACCCAGTGATGCTTTGTTACAGGGGCCCTATGAAACTAATACACTCCTAGAGAGAATGTTTTAACAAATATGTAATACAACTCACCTCCTTAAAATCTTTCAACAGGGCACCCAACTGTTCAGCATGGTATGCAAGGCCCTTTCTGAGATGTGAACCTACCTAGCTTGATCTGCTATAAACTCACCTTCATACAGCCTTTTCTGTATGCAGCTTGGTCACACCTGCATTCTGCTGCGGAGCTCTATTCTAGCCCAGTGGTTCTCACCCTGGGGCAATTTGGCCCCTTCTCGCCCAGGGACATTTGACAATGCCTGGAAACATTTTTGGTTGTCACAACTGAGGGGAAGGGGTACTACTAGTATCTAGTGAGTAGAGACCAGAGATGGTATTAAACATCCTACAACGCAAAGCTTAGCCCCTTACGATCTGGCCCAAAGTGTCAACACCAAGGCTGATAAATCCTGGTCTAGCTGAAACCATTCAACTCTAACTTAAAATTCTCAGCTTCCCTGTCACCCTTTTCCACGAGGTCTTCTCTGTTCCCCCTACCCTGTACCGCCCCCACCCCCGCCCCGCGCGTCCCCAGGAGATTATAGTGCTTGTTCTTGCCGAATTATTTTTTACACTGTCCAAATCCTGGGTTTATCACACTGCATATAGCACAGCACATGTCTGACCATGGCCATGGTTTTCTTGCACATGCTTGTTTGTGGCAATGACCTTTTTCTTTAGTTAAGCAGGGAAGTTATATTACATGTTTGTATGCCACAAAGATCACAGCAACAGCACCGTGGACAATGGGTTGGAGAAAAACATAACCGAAGGCAGCACTATAGAAAACCAAGAAGAACATAACCAAAGGCAGCACACTCAAAAACAGTTAGCAAGAGACGCCAACATCGAGCCAAAAGCAGAGACCTATAATCCACAAGGGGAAAGAAGAGCTAGGCACTTAGAAGGAAAATCAGATTACATATGGTGCCTGACATGCGTCTTCAAAGCATGTCTTTCAGGGTATTTGGAGGGAAGGTAGGGAGAGGTTGGTTCATAGTGTCTACAATCTAATAAAAATACAGCAAAAAGTCCATAGGCACAAAAGTTTACATTCAATTTCAGCGGAGTTCCCAGGCCTGACACACATCCAAGAACCCCAAAAAGGTTAAGAACCCCTACTTAAAGAATGTGGAGAAAAAAAGGAAGATAATTTGAATATTATCTTTAAAATTAGACAAGGCTGGAAACAATAGTTTGGGGAATAAGCCACAGACAGGAAGAACCAAGGAGCAAGAGGTAAGGTTAAAATATGGTGATTGGGGGCCGGCCGAGTGGCGCAATGGTTAAGAACTCGCTTGGGA